TGTTCTTGTGTCTGAAATATGCCTGTACAGAGAACAAGGGAAGTTTTTGATGTGCATTAATTTATAAGCTTTGTCTCCAGACAAATAATATTCAACTGGGAATTAGATTCCTTTAAACCAATATCACTTGTACAAATCTTTAATGCTGGGATTTCAAAACTATGACAGGAATACAGTCATCTAAAAGGTTCAGAGAAAGCTTCAACTAAAAAAATTCTATGTCATGGTTAATACCATTTGTACTGCTCCCAATATTAATGGAAGACTTCACCTATTAGTATTTTCATCAACAAATTGATGTACTGATGGCACATCAGTGTTCAGACCATGTAGTAAGAACACCCAAATTTGATTTTGATTTGCTATTTTGCTTGTATATTGTCTGTCAAGTAAAACATTTATGGCCTTCAAAATCTTTGTGATGACAAGTGCAATCTAGGTAAATCGTCCATGAAAAATTCTGAAGAACTGAAAACAATTCAGATTTTTTTTGTATATTGACAGCTTTCTTCCCCCCCAAAAAACTTTCATAATTAATGTGGACTTGAAGTTATATTGATATCGTATATCACGCCTTGTTTCCATCCATTAGGATTTCTGAATGTCCAAAATACATGAAGGAGCAAAGTACGGTATAATGTGCTTCTTTATTAATATTTTTTATATTTGCTAATTCCTCGTTCTCTAGGAAACTCATGTAGTTTTAGTATGTATTCTAATTCCGTGAGTATTCTGTGTAATATAAAATGAGTATTCTATGATGGTATAAAAATACAGTAAGTCAAGCAATCTTTTCATTACAACTGTAAGAGAGATTATGACCAGTTGATGGATAAGTGGGATTTTGAACAGTGTTTTCTCAGCTCTCTTCTGACATTCTTACTCATGCAGTAAGTACTCTGGCATGCATTTTGCAGTGCAGACTGTGGGCTCTCCCAGACAGGTGTTTAGATCTAATCAAAGGAATATGATGTTTCTCCTCCACACACCACTATTGCTGGCTGCAAGCACTCTTTCATGTTTCAGCTTTCTCCTGCTTGAGTTACAATAGTTTTGGTCAAATCATGCAACTGAAGCAGAAGGAAAATAGAATCCACTCAAAGATATTAATAATAATGGTGTATGTGGAGCTGTGATGGTGCAGTGGTTAGAATGCAATACTGCAGGCTAACTCTGCCCACAGCCTGGAGTTCGACCTTGATGGGGCTCAAGGTTGACTCAGCCTTTCATCCTTCCAAGGTTGGTAAAATGTGGACCCAGGTTATTGGAGGCAATATGTTGACTCTGCTTATAGAGGGCTGTACAGCACTATGAAGCAATATAAATCTAAGTGCTATTGCTAAGTGATATGTGTCTGTGGAATAATGTCACATCTGGAAGGCTCCTAACCTTTCCTCACTTTTAGAACAAGAATCATAAACCTATTCTACAGTTGAAGAGCATCCCAAAGATCATTATTTTCTGAGGCAGTCTGTCCCTACCATAAACAGTTGAGAATGATAGAAAGATTATTTCTAAACTTAAGCTGAATTACCTCATTTGAAAGTCAGGGGCAGCAAATAAATCCATTCTATTATCCGTGATTTCTTGCTTCAGATATTAAGATACCTGTATTAGCAATCCTTAACAATCTCTTGAATAGACAAAACACAATCAAGCTTTCCATATAAGGTAAAGTCCACACACTGTAGTTTAATAGTTAAATATACAAATTTATCCTCTTTCGTATCATGAACATCCATAAAATATTTCCCTTTCCAGTTTAGAAATATCATACAATATACCTATTGTGTTTTTGTCTTCATTTTATGCAAAAGGCAGACTTGTTGATAAAAGGGGAATTGAAAGCCTTTTATTTTACCTTAAATAGAACAATAACTATTACTTGTCCATATATTCTATCCATGTCTGGTTTTTCCCCCGATATTAAAATGCATCTTTTTCATTCTTTTTTCTTTTACTCTTAGAGTATCTCATATAACTAAGCTCACTCTGAGGTGAAACTCTCCTGACATGCTCTATAAGTTTCTGCTATCAGTTTTTCTTTATTTTAGGTAGTTTGTTCTTCCTCACTGGAATGGAATTGTGTCTTCAATATGTACTATATGATTGTTTGGTTGATTGATTGTCAGGAATATAAATTTTTCTGCTTGAACAATAAGAAAAAAGGAAAAGCTCATCAAAACAAAATTAAAACATAGAAAAATAAAAAGTATAAACATGAAAGTAAAAAAACAAAACAAAATTTCCCTATGAAGTTGTCCTGAGAAAATGTCCCATGAAAAGCAATGGAAGGAACTAGGAATATTAAATCTTGAGAAGATTGTGAGGGATTTAATAACATGCTTTAAATGTCACATAGAAGACATTGAACATCTCTGTTGTTTCAGAGCATAAGACATGGAATATATTATCCGATTAAATGCCAGAAGACAAATTCTTAGAAGTAAAATCAATTCCCCATAAAGAAGTGGACTCCCCTTTACTAATGAGTTCAAGTAGGCTAGGCATCCTTCTGATGGCGTTACTTTAATTTGGACTCTGCTTTCAGCAGGCAGCTGGACTTGATGGCTTAAATTGCCCCTTCTAATTCCATGATCCATGCTTCACTGAGTTTGATTTCTAAAGATACAATCTGCTTTTCAATACTGAGACTGCCATTCTTTCTGAAAATTTGGAAATCTGGTACAATATGGCATCATTTTGCATTTCTTAGAGATCTTTGGTATTCTACAGTACTCTATTGTACTCTATTGGCATAATTTATTGAAATACTCAAATCATGCTTTTAGGTGTATATACATCAACATCTGATTATACCATTAACCCTCTTTTTCCAACTGACCTATTCTTTTTTAACATATGATGTATATTATAAGATTCAATTTCTACATTCGACTTCTACATGTCATCCTACCATCTTTCAGTAATTATTACTGATGTATTTATAAACCATTCATCTTATTTCAAACACATTGCATGCAGTTGGGTAGAGGAAAGGTGTTGGAAACCACGTGTGTTGATTTTTCTTGCATTTTGGGAGTTCTTCCACTGTGACTCTGGTTTCACACGTTTCACTTTCCAACATTTGGAATCATGCTGGGGTAGTTTTTGGAATTTCATTGCTCTCTTGATCAGCTCACAAAATTCACGCCAAATGCATTTTTCTGCTCCTTGTAAGGGACAATTCTTCTTATGGTAAATATTCTTCATCACAAAAACACAAACACATCGAAGAAACAAAACTTTTTCAAACAATATTATTTGTATAGTCCTCCCCGCCGAATGTTTCCCTGTTATCTTAGAATATGGTTATAATGGTATATTAAAAACCTAAGGTAAAGTGACATTCTGGCCAGCGGGATATTCTCTTATCAATTAAGATCATACCCTCCTTGTCAATTTATACAGATTTTTGTTGTTGTTGTTGTTAGTAAAAGACTGAAAAACTCTACTTTAACTAGGTGGCTATAAATTAGGTTTTAAGGTAAAGCAATCCAGTAGCTGAGATCTCTGTAACCTTGTTCTGTTCTCTTTCAATAAATCTTATTAAAAGAAACTCTGGGAGAATCTTGCTTTCTATAAAAGTGGATTGCCAAGAGCTTGACAGTGGCCTTCAACAAGAATGTCAAAGAATATGATTTCTGGAGTACTACAAAAAGAATTACAAAAAGAATTCAGAAAGATCTGCTAACATTTCAAGTAAGAATTCCTGGTGCTTAACAAATTAACAGAAGTCTGTTTTTGTGCTTTCCGGTTTTAATACCTATATATTTCTAATATATAGTATTTGCAATGCCAGAAGGTTTATAGAGATAAGCATATGTATTTTTCCTCTTTCTTTTTCTCATCCACTTCCTTTGTTCTGGGTCTCTTCAGAAGAAAGCACAGCTGGTGAAGAGAAAAAGGAAAGTTAGAGAAGCACAAGAGAATATATGATGATGCCATATAGTACAAAACGGTAGTGACTGTTTAAAGATCATTAATATGGACAATTAGGAACATATACATTTTTCCCACCTCTGTTGTTGAAAACAACACTATAGTTTCTAGCACTGAGCACCTCTTTCTAAGTACATCAATGTTTTATGGATTACGAATCAGAGACCCTACACAAGAATGTACGTTCTGCTTTGTCATAAAAATTAATGATGTTAGGGAAGTTCTTAGATATGTTCTACATTGATTAATAAGTTAATATATAATCCCCCAATACAATATAATTAGGGGATGTCTGGATGAAAACTAGAAGTTCCCTAGTAACTACATAATCTGTCTTTTTACTAGAATCCAAGAAATCTGTTTCTTATATCCTCTATATTGTTCCTATTGTACCTCACATTAAATTAACTCATTATAATTATCTATGTTTCATCGACTTTCCACGTACTTTTTGTTCTCATTAAGTCCAGCCTGTGGACAATGGAGCAGACCAGAGCAGAATTTCTTACACAACACTCATAGGCAACCTATTTCTGCTAGATATAGAAACTAACTCAGTGCTGTGGTTCTACCAGTTCTCAATCCCTTCAAGATCGCTCTACTTATTTACCTCTAGAAAGAAATTTCATGTCTAACTATGTATATTAAACTGGGTTTTTTTTATTTTAATATAAACACTTTCTGTTTCAGATGTGGGAAGAACTGTAATTGGTCGATTCTTTTCCATTATTAAAGTGCATTGACTGCAAAATTCATCTAACATCTGTCATTAGCAATATTCAGTTCTTAGATTTTATATGTTCTGTGCCCTTCAGAGTCTCCTCTAATTTGCTAATTTAAAATCTTAATGGAGAGACAGATAAGATTTTCAAAAACTAAAAATATAAGGCCATGTCCAGAATGTGGAATGCAAGTTTTCCAGCAAGAACAAAAAAGCTATTGAAAAGTTGTCATTTGGGACTTAAAGGGGCAATGAAATAAATGTTATTTAAGTTATTGGCTGCCCAGCTCCAGTGGAGTCTTATTCACATCCTATTTTACTTTTCTTGCAGGTTACTGGTTTTTTTAAGGGAATGTCTTTCCCTTTAATCAGCATTGCTGCTTATAATTCATTGGTATTTGGTGTCTTCAGCAGTACCCAAAGGTTTATTTGCCAACATCGCTATGGGATACCTAACCATCCTCCTGCACTCACAGATATAACTTTAGCAAGCATGGTAACTGGGGCTTTCTCAGTAGGAATTGGTTGCCCAGTTGACCTAGTAAAAATAAGGCTACAGATGCAGACACAGACTTTTCCTAAGGGTAAGTCCAGAACATACCTTTGCTTTTTATCATACCAGTTTAAAAAAATCCTTCCTTTTTACCACCCTGTAATTCCTTTATTTAGGGTAGAGTTGGGGCAACTGGATGGAACTGAGCGTTTATTGGCCAGATACCTTTCCTGACCTTATGCGGGTCACAGCATATATATATATTTTCTTTGTGCACTAGGAGACAAATATCTGCCACTACCTAGGATTGAACTCTCAATCTTCTGAATGGGAGGCAAGCATCATCACTAGGCTACCACACCGTTCTTTTCCCATACCAATTATGTATAATATAATGATAGGATAGGATAGGATAGGATAGGATAGGATAGGATAGGATAGGATAGGATAGGATAGGATAGGATAGGATAGGATAGGATAGGACAGGACAGGAAGAGTAGGGTATAACATGTCATGATGTCATGACAGTAAACTCACAGCTTATATATTTCTATCCAAACACAAAACATGTATCATCATTTTAATCCAACCTTATTTTGTTCTGCACATTGATTATTCCATACAATTATTCCTATATGGCAATAACATAGCTATCTCTGAAAGAATCTCTGAGTTATAGTTCATCCAGTATGAATATTTCCATATTGGGTTTAAATCACATAGCATTAAAAATATTTACCTTAATTTAAAAATATTCGCCTTTCTTTAATAATATAATTTGAGCCGCCAATAGCATTGCACAACACAAATTTTGCTGGTCCAGGCCCAGGTCGATAGTCTAGCATCGTTTTGCACAAAGATCACAACCAGATTTCTTTGGAAAGCAACCAAATAGAGCATGAGACATGGAAAAAACAAACACACCACCACTAACATGAGTACAATTGAAACATAAAGTCAAAGGAAAACATTTAGCTAAAAGCAATTCTAAATTAAGCAAACTTCTGATTTCATCAGATATATCACATCACTTGCAATGGGATGAAATGTGGGTGTTTGAATTCCATGAATCATTTTCCTTTTTCTAATTTCTGGTGGCACCATACTATTTTCCAAAGCAGCTGAAAGCCAGACAAGGAATAATGGATGGAAACTGATCCAGGAGAGATTCAACCTAGAAATAAGGAGAAATTTTCTGACAGTGAGAACAATCAACCAATGGAACAGTTTGCCTTCAGATGTTGTGGAAGCTTCATCACTGAAAGCTTTCAAGAAGAGACTGGACTGCCATCTGTCAGAAATGTTGTAGTGTCTCCTGCTTGGACTAGATGACCTACAAGGTCTCTTCCAACTCTGTTATTCTACCTTCTATCTAGTGAACCTAGATAAAGGAAGAGCCTTAAAATAGACGGTATCTCATCAATTCGCTATATACCCGCTGGCCACCCCAGCCCTTTGGCATGCCCTCCCCTCCTCCGATCTGAGGTATCCCTACCCTTTTAGCTTTCTGGAAGAAATCAAAACAAATAATACTGCCTGCCTCCTAAGCCAATATACACAGCAAATCTCTGAGGAATTATTTGTATCTGACCCTGAAATCTCCTTTTACTTCCTCTCTAGCCAACTTGGAAATAAAGCACAAAGCAACTGGCGTTTCAGTACAGGCTGCCTACCGAGGTCCAATTCACTGTGTCGCTACAATTCTTCAGCAGGAAGGTTTGGCAGGACTCTTTCGAGGTACGACCGCCATGCTTCTGAGGGATGTCCCAGGATACTGCCTCTACTTTATCCCTTATGCATTGGTTTCCGTCTGGATCACTTCAGAAGAATGTCTTTCTCCCACTCCCTTTGCAGCATGGATGGCTGGTGGCATTGCAGGTATGAACCTATCTTTCCGAATGTTATTTGGCTGGGTTCACATCATGACATTGGGCCTTAATATGGTTGGTTTGCTTTTGCATTGGAATGATAAATAAATGCACTGGCTATACACTAGCATCTTAGGCAAACCAGAAAAATTCATAGTATTATTTAAAGTTCTTGGAGTAGCATTATGTATATATGAATGCAGGTACTGAGCTTAATTTCATTATATCATACAAATCAAGGACTGCCAAAAATTGCTAGTTGTACTGGAGGAATGGTTTTGGAAAGGGTAATCTAGTATCCTTGAAAAGTATTTTTTTTCTTCCTCAACTTATAGTAATATACCACCACTAAGGGTCACAGCGAGATTTCTCTTTTTTCTCCAAATCCCCCTAAATGTTTTGTAGGAAGAAAGACACAATTTTAAAGTAAAAAAGAAAAGGATATGGAGGAAGAGTAGAATCCTCTAATCTTCCTCAGAAGTAGAAGAGATGTGAGAATGGCAGGTTTTACAAGACATACTGTTTTTAGCTATTTTTTTTCGGAGAGTAGGCAGCACTACACTTGTTAAAAGTGTAAATTTATTTAAACAGATTTTTTTAAGGCTTGGACTGCTCCCTGCAGCACTGGATGCTTGCAGGGAAGTTTCTTTTTTGCTCTTAAGTGTTATATTTTGAATTGGTCATTCAGACAGAAATGGAAAAAGTATCTTCTCCCCCCCACAGTGATTCTGGTTTTCTTCTTATCTCCTTGTTTTAATGCCTTAGCGTCCATAAGCCTTGCTCCCTTTTGCTGAAGTTTTTGCACATGTGGAAATATTCTTAGTTGTAAAAAGGAGAACCTACTTTTCTTTTCATCCACAGGATTTGAAAAAAATATCTGACTTTCAGTTTTAATATGGACTTATAAACCAGGACTTTTCAACCTTTTCATCCATTGTGCCAGTTTTAGGATATGGCAACATCCGAGTACCACCAGTTGCCTAGCAAGGTGTCAAAAACTTGATGACCAAAAAAAAGAAAAAGGAAAAAAAGTGATAAAGTACAGGTAGTCCTCGACTTACAACAGTTCGCTTAGTAACTGTTCGAAGTTACAATGGCACTGAAAAAAGTGCCCCCCAAGCCACAGCCGAGCAAGACACCTGCCTGCCCACCCAGCGGCGCTCTTCCTCCTGTCCGAGGTTTTCATTGTTGTGAGCATTTCTGTTGAGGATTGGCAGCGGGGGTGTTTGGTTTTTATTCACCCCCATTTGCTGGGTGGTTGCAGCAGGTTTTGGTCACTTCACATGACCCTGGGACACCGTGACCGTCATAAATATGAATCAGTTGCCAAGCATCTGAGTGTAAATCACAAGACCCTGGAGATGCTGCAACATTCCAGCTGATCAGTACTTATTCTGTGTTCAGCAGAAGTGCCAGGATCAGTGCTGCTTTCCAGCTGATTGGTGCTTCTTCAGGGCTCAGCAGAAGCACCAGGATCAGCGCTGAGCTCCAGCTGGAGCCTGGTGCTGATCCTGGTGCTTCCACTGAGCCCTGACAGCCCCAAAGAAGCTCCGATCAGCTGGAAAGCAGCACTGATCCTGGTGCTTCCGCTGAGCCCTGACAGCCCTGCAGCTCCAGCCATCTCTCGCTCAGGCTTGTGCGGTGCTGCCACCAGCTCAGCTGATTCCCCTCCCCTGCTACCACTTTTCTAGGATGGTCATGTACCACCTGCCAGGTGCCAATGTACCACAGGTGGTACCCGTACCACTGGTTGAAAAGCCCTGTTATAAACAGCCTTTCAGAATGTAAATAGAGGAATGTCTATACAGTATTATCCCCAAAAACACAGAAGAGCTTCTACTATTGTGCCCTCCCTTCCTCTTTTCTAGATGGAAAGTTCTAGAATACACCAAAAAAGCTGCAGCTTTGTCTTTGTAGTGAAGGGGAAGCTGAAACTGAGGGTTATGTGTTGATGAATTGCCTTTTTTATAGAAATCTATGGAAATGTGTATTTCCCCATATATAACACAATATCTGGGCTGGCTAGAGGCTGAATATCTTAGTTTCTTGCTAGTTAATTGGGTGGTAGAGATTTCAAACTATATAGCCAGATTTTATGTTAGACCTATGATTAAATGTAAAAATTCCTCCAAGTGAGGTGATGCTGAGCTTTAACTAGGCTCCCATAAGTCAATATATTTTCCTCCCTTTCCTCCTTCCTCTTTTATACTTTTATGGCTCTCTGTTTTCATTTTACTTTATTTTATTTGTTATTGTCTGAAGCATAATGGTCTTAATTACAGAAAACACTAGAAGAGCTTCAGCAAGTGTAAAGAATACTGTAGCATAAGCTAACATTGTCTTGTATTATCGTAGTGCTTTATAAATTCTAGTATTATTTATATCCTTTTATAGTTATTTGTCTTTGTTTATAGCATTTATTGAGCTGTGGTGGCACAGTAGTTAGAATGCAGTACTGCAGGCTAACTCACTGCTCACTCCAGGAGTTTGATTCTGAGTGGTTGACTCAGGGTCGACTCAGCCTTCCATCTTTCTGAGGTCGGTAAAATGAGGACCCAGATTGTTGGGGGCAATAGGCTGACTCTATAAACCACTTAGAGAAGGCTGTAAAGCACTATGAAGTGGTATATAAGTCTAAGTGCTATTGCTATTTAGATTATTTACTGTAAAATTTAATTGTAGTTTTATAGGATTCTTTTGCATTTTATATCTGTACTTTGCTTTTCTACTTTAATAATTTTATCTTTATTTTATTCTGTTATGAGTTTTTATTTTTATTTCTTCTTTAGCATAATTGTTATGTTATTAATTATAAACTGATCTGTGACCAAAATTAAAACTGGTTGATTGATTCAGAGTTACATGAACAGAACTGAATGAAAATATAGTCTACCAAGTCACGTCAGAAAATCTAGATCCAAACAAAATACCTTGATCATACTGGTGTGTACTATTCCAGTAAAGTTAGCACAGATATTCAAGGACGCTTATACCGGCAAGGATGCAAAAAGAAAATATGACATGTTGGGGATGAGATTTTGAGAAACCAGATCTATTTTTCTTTTACTAGAAAAGGGGAAAGGGGAAGAAATATCTCTAAGGTCAAGGTTGTAAATCTGATTTAATGTTATCATGGCATGTATCGTCACAATGTAGATAAAAAATTTGATCTCTTTTTTAAAGTCATGTATTGTTACAATTAGCTATTTTTTTAATACAGGAATGTGGAAAAAATCACAAACTTTCCTTTTTTTCCTCACAGAAAATCACTGGCTTTCCTCTTTTTTTCCCCCTCATGTAACAATTTCTATTGAGGCATAGTAATTTCTGCTTTGTGCCATTGTAGGTTGGTTTTCTAATTTATAAAATAACATGAAACCGTTTGGCTATTCTGTTCTCTCTTTTATAGTCTCCTAATTTATTTTGAATAATAGATTTTCATTGCAGTCAGTATTTAATCTGTCCAATTGTTTTCAAACCTTGGCACTGGCTCACATAAAAGCAAAGCCAGTTATTGGTTAACATGAATAGATTTTTTTCCAGCATTTCACAAGAGTAGCACAACCTAACCACATTCCTCCAAGCCAATGCTCTGTAAAAACATTCACAGACATAGAGCAATGTGCAAAACATAGGTTAACTTATAATATACAGTCCATTTATCTGAAACTCTGGTGCAATTGTGCTTGAGGTATGCGGAATTTTAAGATTATACCATGTTTGAGTGGCACTCAAATATTCTGTAAAACATTTAGTGATAATCTTTGACTTACAACCACAACTAAGCCTAACATTTCTGTTGCTAAGCAAGACAGTTCTTAAGTGAGTTTTGTCCCCTTTTACAACCTTTCTTGCCATACTTGTTAAGTGAATCACTGCAGTTGTTAAGTTAGTAACACATTTGTTAAGTGAATCTGGGTTCCCTGTTAACATTGCTTGTCAGATAGTTGCAATATTCCTGGGACACTGCAGGTGTCATAAATACATTCCAGTTGCCAAGTGTCTGAATGTTGATCATGTGACCAACCAGGATACTACAACTGTCTTTAAGTTACTTTTTTCAATGCCATTATAACTTCGAATGGTCACTAAATGAATGGTTGTAAGATGAGGACTACCTGAATATAAAATAGTTGCTTCTTTTAAAGTTATTTTGAATTAATGTTTTTTTAGGGTTGATCCCACATTACACCTACCATTCAATATCTTGGCATAGTTTTATGTATCCAGATTATTTGTTAAACTTGAAGCTTTTCTAGTTGTAAAAGTAATTTAGTATTGGGGTAAGTAATTTTAGTATTTAGTATTAGGTAGGGTCTCCCTGTGGAAACATTGTGATGGAAACACAACGACCCACTCTCAATGATGACACTCCGACACCTGTGGAGAGAATGATGGGTAGGGCATGGAATAATTGAGATGGTTCAAATAAATGGTCCAAATATATTAATGTAGCAGTTTAGGATCCAAATAAATGGTCCAAATATTATTAATGTAATAGTTTAGGGATGACCTTAAACTGCTACATTAATAATGTCATATAAAGCAAGGAAACCTAGGCTTGTTCTAGCCCAGGGGTAAACAATTAATTTTCCCAAGGGGCCACATGAGAAACTGAAGCTGTTGTTGAGGGCCACTGCCCCCCAATGATGCCCTGCCCTTGATAATGCTCTGCTCTGCCATTCCACCCCGACAATGTCCCACCCTGATGACACTCCACCTCCTGCAGCCAACACCCCACTGCCAACACTAATGATGGCCCAGCCCCAATGACGCCTGCCACTGCAGATCGAACTGGAATAGCCTACTAGCTGAATGTGGCCTGCAGCCCATAAAATGCCCACATCTGTTCTAGCCAGTAGGAAGAACTTTTCCTTCATTACCCATTAGTCCCATTATCTATTCCTATGGGAAAGAGATGGTGGCATTCCTGCAGCTATGTGAACCATCTCAATTATTCCATGCCCTCCCCATCATTCTCTCCACGGGTGTCAGAGTGTCATAGTTGGGGACTGGGCATTGTGATTCCATCACAATGTTTCTGCAGGGAGACCCTACATAATAATGTAGTTAATCCTAATATAATTGTTGAGAAGAAACATAGTTGTTTGGTAGGCAACAGTAGAGGCCATAATTAGGAGTGAGAAAACTTTTGATCCTCAAAATACTTGGACCTCAAATATGATTGTGTTAACATTAAAACGCTAAATTACTAATATAGAATATATTAGTATACTAAATAAGTCATTTGTATTTCTTCAATATTGGAGCAAAACAGCTGTTTTGAACATTTGGGTAGTTCTTAGTACTATGTCTGGACTGTTGTTTTGTGGGTTTGTTCTGAGACTATGACTGTGAGATACTTTACATTGCAGAGCCTGGCAAAATTATTATTTCCCCCCCACAGAAATATTAATTTTATTCATGTAGTTAAGCACTAGTAGCCTATTTTTTTCCCAACTAACAAAACAGCAAAAAGCAATAGTTGCTTTTATGTTTTGTCTATAGGCTGGCTAAAAAGGTGGAGTAATAATCCTTGCTGTTACCTGTCACCGAGTTTACAGAAAAATTGGTCAAGGGAATAATAAAATTCATCTGTTGTTTCTCATTTTTGTCTGTCTGCCTCTTCAGACTAGGAGGTTCTAATTGAAAATCATGCTGATTCAGATTATCATGTTAAGGGGAGCAGGAATGGCAAATGGCAAAATATTTATAAGGTGGCATCTGCAGCAAACTGTGCGGATACCAAAATGATGACATATATGTGGTGATATCATCATGAAACTACTGCTCTTACATATTCGTGTCTTGACTCTGGTGCAAGTATCTAAGTTGGAGCACTTGTATCATGACATTGTTCCCTGTGTGTCATTCTTTTACTACAGTATCTCAGTTTGATTTGGATGCCATTGTTTTTGGATTTTTTTTTAAAAAAAGTTGAAAATATTTATCTGTTGAAGGAAGAATTCCAGAATTTTTCTGATAAGAGAACCTAAATTAACTACATTTTTCTGTGGTTTTTTTTTTAAACATTGCCCTATTATTTCCTAAGGGAATGTTTAAAAAAATATTTTTGAAGTCATCACTTTGGCCAGGATGGACTCCAGGTACCAGTCAATTTGTACTACCAATGCATCTATTTGTAAAGCCCTTGTATGAAAAGCAAGGAAGCTAGAGATTCTTCTGAGTGCTTATTGTTTTTTATGGCTGGAATACTCAAAATATATCAAGTGCCCTCCTAAAAGTACAATTAAACATTTCAGGTTGTGTCCCAATAGAACACAACAATACAAAATAGTCTGATTGACAGCTTGGAACCTAGAACAAACAAGGTTAAAGTCTTAAACAGATGGTCTTTGTGATAAAGCATTATCTACAGAGGCCTTGTTGGGATTCTAGAGAACTTTTAGCTATATTTTCACTTTCAAAATAAGCCTATTAATTATACAGTTAGCCCTTGCTTAATGATCACAATTGGGACTATCAATTTGATTGCTAAATGATGTAGTCATTAAGCAAAACATCACTTGGACTCATCTCGTCTCGTGTCAGAGGTGCAGGAACTAGAAAGGGGAAAATTATTAATTTAAATTTAAAAAGTTTAAAAACTTTAATAAAAACATATTTCTAGCCCAATGCCAGGCTACATTGATGACAGGGATATTTCCAATCAGCAAGTCATTGATGATTATTTTGATGGACTCATAACCTCACTTCTCTGCAGTCATTAAATGAGTCACCTATCATCATTATGAGAGACATCACATATTCACAACTTGTGAGTATACTGCCAGCTTCTCCATTGATTGTTTGACAGAAACCAGCTATGAAGCATACAAGTAGTGGTCACATGGCTGAGAGTCACTGCAATGGTTGCAAGTCCTGACCAGTTGTGAGGTGCCCAAATGGTGATCACATGTCTGTGGGGGTGCTGAGATGGTTGGTTGTAAAGTTACTATTTCAGTGCCATCATAATTTTGAATGGTTGCTAAACAGAGCAATCATTAAGCAAGGATTACCTATAATAACATTTTGCCACTCTTTCCCCACCTTAGCAAAAATACTTCTAAACCAAAATGTTTTGCTTTTACAAATCCCCTATCCCCCATTTTTAAGATTTCTCCAATTCCTTCATCCCAAAAGATACTAACCCAGCTATTTGGTTTCATAAATGAATTCAAAGTGTATTGTCTATCTAATGACTAACGTCTACCAATTTCTCCCTAGGAATCATATCTTGGGGAACAGCAACTCCTATGGATGTTGTGAAATGTCGTCTCCAAGCAGATGGGGTTTATTTAAACAAATACAAAGGAGTCATTGACTGTATCTATCAAAGTTACAACAGTGAAGGTTTAAAAGTAAGCACTAGCCTTTTGAGAATACTACATTATTGGTAACAAACTTAATATAAATAAATTATCCCAATTATAGAGTTGCATCCATGGGAAGTGGGGGAGAAACTAAGGTCAGAATGACAAAGGCAGCATCACATCACACCACAAACTTTAGGCATGCATGTAGAAAAAAGTGATACAAAAATGCTGCTTTCATTAGTCCGATCCTTTTACCTTCAAACCCACCAATGGAAATTTCAATAAAACCATACCATAAAATTTCTGGTCAAAATATAAGGACCAGAATTCTGGCCATTTTCTCAGATGTTTTTAAAAGGTAATTTAAATATACTTTATATGGATTTAATTTTATTAATGTTTTTCTACTTTATATTTAAATATTTTTATTGTAAGCTGCCTTGATGATCAAATACATAGAAATGGAGGGCATAAATTTAGTAATTTTAAAAATAGATATATAAATAGAGCAGAACTTGTAGAATAGATCTATCAGCAGCTATGAGATCAGAGTAGCTAAATGGAATCAGCACCACTAAGAAGTCTCATTCATTATCTCATTTGAAGCAGTATTGCCACATCATGTTACAGTACTCAAATGATTCATGTAATTGCTGCAGCTCAAGCAAAATATATATTTCAAGGTTGCTCTTTCTCTCCCTCACATACACACAGCACTTTAGAAGCAAGAATATTTGCTGTAGTTTAGGCAAATAATAGCAGACAGGGATGCAATTGAAATGCTTAGTAAAAAAATGCTTGCCTGAAAGGAGTCGAACACAGTCCAAGTAGCAATAGCGTTGTCCATAGAGATTCCAAAAGTCACAGGACTCCAAATCAATAGTCGGGTGGTCCAAGAGTTAAGAGCCACAAATAAGAAGCAAGAACACAATTCAAGAGCTGGATAGCCAAATGGTTGTCTCCAACAAGGACTCAAGTACCAGAGCTAAATCTATCTGCAGTACTGGCTGCAATTACGCATGCCTTGATTTTTGTTTCACAAGAAGTCTCATTGAGGAAAATTGTTCTGCTTGCTTCTTTATGTATCAACACTTGGGGCTTATGTCTCATCATCGGATTGCTCCATTCGAACAGGAGATGCCTGTGACTAATGAGCCTCAATTGAATCCTGGCTTTTTGATTCCTGAGGCTGACAATTCTGAATAATCAGAATAGAGCTGGAAGGGACCTTGGAGGCCTTCCAGGTCTGCCCAAGCAGGAGTCCCTATATCAGGGGTCCTCAACTCCCAGTCCATGGACCAGTACTGGGCCGCGACATGCCAACAACTGGGCCGCACAAACAAGCAAAGTCCCATCCGCAAGATGGAGGCAGCACCCAAAACCACGCACTCTCCAGTCCGTGGAAAAACCTCTCTCCACGGAACTGGTCCCTGGTGCCCAAAAGGTTGGGGACCTCTGCCCTATATCATTCCAGACAAGTGGCCGTCCAGTCTTCTCTTAAAAACCTTGAGTGATGAAGCACCCACAACGTCTGAAGGAAAGCTGTTCCACTGGTTAATTGTCCTCACTGTTACGAAGTTTCTCCTTAATTCCAGGTTGCTTCTCTCCTTGATCAGTTTCTATCCATTGTTTCTTCTCCTGCCCTCTGGTGCTTTGGAAAATAAGTTGACCCCCCCTCCTCCCTATGGCAGCCTCTCAAATACTAGAATACTGCTAATCATCTTAGTTGCTCTTCTTTGCACTTTTTCCAAAGTCTCAACATCTTTTTTGTAATGTGGTGACCAAAACTGGATGCAGTATTCCAGATGTGGCCTTACTAAGACTTTATAAAGTGGTAATAATACTTCATGTGATTTTGATTCTATGCCTCTGTTTATATAACCAAGGATTGTATTAGCTTTTTTGGCTGCTGCCACACACTGCTGACTCATGTTTAAGTGATTGTCCACTAGGACTCCAAGGTCCATCTCACAGTTACTGTTTTTGAGTCAGGTTTCGCCTAATCTGTACTTGTACCTTTGGTTTTTCCTGCCTAGGTGTAAAACCTTGCTTTTCTACCACACTAAATGTCATTTTGTTGGATAGCGCCCATTGTTCAAGTCTATCAAGATCTTTTTGGATCCTGAGCTTGTCTTCTGAGGTGTTGGCTGTTCCCGCCAGCTTAATGTCATCTGCAAATCTGATGAGATCCCCTTCTATTCCCTCATCTAAGTCATTTATGAAGGTATTATGAAGCACAGGTTCAGCTGGAGTAACATCTCCAGAGTCAAGATCAGACTCTGAATTGTAGCTTGTAACAATATATGAATTTTGAAGGTAGCAACACAAATATAGGCAACTAAAACTAAATCAACAGGGATGTCACAGGTGGTTTTACCCTTCTGGATGTTAGTAGATCAGTGGTTCTAATTCAGTCCTCCTGCTATGTTGGAAAATTCCTGGAATTCTCAAGAAAGTCATCCCATTTCCGTTAGTTGAAGACTTAATGTAATTTCATATATTAGCTCACAAAATCAGGTACAGCAATGAGAGGTGGAACCTCTAATGGTCTTCCTCCTATGCAGGCAGCCACCAGTATTTTGAGCATTATGGTTCATGGAGATAGTCGGTACCACAAAATATGATTCTCACCAAGAATGGAATGTGCATCACTCTGAATCCTTGCCCAGCAACCCCAAGAAGTACTGGAGGTAGATCAGCGCATTGTTTTGGGTTGTTTCCAAAGCATGATTTACACAACCCTTTATTGAAGCAAAACACCTTTTCAAAGCTTTACACAGTTATAAATAGAAAAGCCTAATAACTAGACGTCTGAAGCAAAGCAACGAGCATAATTTTATTTGGTTTTTTGATCTTACTAACAGAAATAAGTCTCTTTTTTTGTCCAAATATGAAAATAAGATTTTTCTGTTAGGATGCATATCATTTTCCCTTGACTTTTTCTTTCTGCAATTAGTTGAAGTAATTGATATTTCTCATGGCATATCATATGTCCCAAATATATTCCAGTTTCCTTTTTTATGATATTCATAAATTATAAATTCTTTGCCCATTTTTTGAGGTAGTGGCTCATTTTGAATATAATCAACAATGGCATTTCAAATAATCCATAAATCCAAGACTTCTATTCTGCTGATAGCATCAGTTGGCAAGACCTTGTACAATTTATCAATGGAATTATAGTCTTAAGTCCCAAAAGTTAATAAATTGACTTATTTTTCAAAACGTTATTCTTGTCTGTTCAATCCTGCTCCATCTAGTCAATCTTGCTACGAACCCATTTATAATTCAAAATACAGCTCAGACATTTATACTGTCACTCCCCACACTTATTTTTCTGCAGGCATAGTAGTTGGTTCAACAGACATACTGAGTATCAATATAAATATACATAGAAAATCTCAGTGCTTGTCTCAGTCATCACATTATATCAATTTAAGAATATCAATCTTGCTGTTATTTCTCCATGGGCATTTCCAAAGCCAGTTTCTCACTGCCTGCAGGCGTTCACAAGATTGTTTAATCTTGTTCTTTGTGGAAGAATGCCATTTCCCTACTAGATGAATTCTAACATGGAATGTGATCGACTGTTTATTTAAAATAACATGATTGTACCTGTTTGGAAGTCCGTGGCCTTGGAAAAGTTAATTTTGGATGGATGGATGGATGGATGGATGGATGGATGGATGGATGGATGGATGGATGGATGGATGGATGGATGAATGGATGGATGGATGGATGGATGGATGGATGGATGGATGGATGGAAGGAAGGAAGGAAGGAAGGATGGATGGATGATCTTCACTATTCAAGGGCCTTCCAGATTTCTTGGATTAAACATTCTAGAAATCCTTTTTCAGCATGCTTACTTTGGAATTCTAAGTAGTGAAAATGACTAGGTTGACTAAAGTTGTACCTGAAAATACAGCTGCCTCCTCCTGAATTTCCATTGGAGGGAGAGAGGGGGAGGGGGAGAGAGGGAAGAAGGGAGAGGGAGAGAACACAGGGGACTGGATTTGTATATGGAAGACAAAGGAGCATCATGGTTTCAATCTGAACCTTTCTTGGGGGCAAATTATTGGTTTCTGGCTCATATTTTGTTTACACTGATTCATCAAACAAGTCATAGCAACAATATTTATGATGTGGTTTACAGAGTTATTTCTAATATTATGTCTACATCTGATTTATACTTGCTCTGTCCTTAGGGTAGCTGCTTCTCTTTTTATCTTCACTTCACTTCTCCCATGCCCTTAGGATCTCACAACTGTTTGATAATTAGTCACTAGTGAAAATCAGAAACATCAAGACACTGCTTCTTACAATTTTGAGGCAGAAAATTAATCCCTGTGCATGCACACACAAAAACACTAGAAAGCAGGCCCTAAGCATTTTATTTTTTTTTAAAAAAGAATGACTAAAACAACAACTCTCCTGAACTGTAACACCCTTCCAGACATTCCCCCCCAAATCTTGGCCTCCTTCACATCTGTCCTTCCCTTTGCTCAGCTTGTGTTATTGAGTGTGGCTCTCACTCCTCAAAAATACCTACCCCTAATCTAAAGGATATTTTAGAGAAAAACCTGAGCAAGTAATCTGCTGATGTATTCTGCTTTCCTGTTCATTTTTAATCAGTAATTAGGAATGGACGAGTCCCCTCCCGTTTATTTGGAATTAGATCAGCAAACTTTTTTCCTCCAAACACTAATGCCAAGAAAAAAAAATTCAATCTGTCTTGGTTCTGTCTACAAGCATATCCATGAGAACATTATATGAACATAACCAGGGCAGGGAGATGGGAGTTTCCTTCCATTTATGGAGCAAAGCATTATGGGTGCTGGGTCAATCAGATTATTGTAGTGAGAGCCTATAGAACAAAAATCAGTCAATTCTTTTGCATTTTCACAATAGTAAACTATTGTATAATATTTATGCAACTCTTTTACTTAGAACTCTTTCCATATATTACTATCAATTATCACAGATTGAAATCTATGTTGATACATAAAAGGAAAGGCACTTGATTACTTTTTGCTGGAGATTAATTTAGCTATTTTGATCTGTAAGTAAATATAACATGAATACCTGCCCCCCCCCACACACACACGTTCCTTGGGTTCAAAGACAACACTCTATTGTGCAGTTCATCTGTGGACAGAAATGGCTTTGCAGTCTAAGCCTGAAAGCACAGAATCTATAGCAAAATGGGGACACTGGAAGGCCATTGTTATAACTGTGGGTGTTATTTTGTGGTGCTGCTTACCCTTTTTTTATCAGTTTTAGGTGGTGCCTGTCTTCAAAGCCAGTGGAGGCTTCATAGCATAGGACTTGCCAGTGGGTTCTGTCAGCTTCTAGTTCCCATGGCAGGATGTCACAGTGGCATAGGGTATCCTTTACCAGCATCTTTGTATTGCTTGCATGGACAACTTAGAGGTTCTACAGGGTTAATATGTGGCATGGTATAAAGTACTTTTGTCTTGTTCAGACTGATAGTCAGGTCAAAGAGAATAGCAGCATCTGAGAATATGTTCTGCATCAACTATGCATGAGGATCACACAGTCATCAGCTTCAATTTAAAACCAAGTTACTTATATAAATAATAAAAATATTATAAAATAATGTTTAAAGCAGCAATACATGCTAACAATAACATGAAAACTATATTAAAATTTCTGGTCACATTTCCTTGATGTTGGAATAGCATTATTAGATGTGCACTGGTTCTTTCTAGAGAAAGTATTTCATAATCAGAACGTTGTAACTAAAAAAGTCATCACCACCACCTTCACCATCTTCAAAAAAGAGCCTCTTGAAGGACTTTTCATCCTGGTGTCATTATTGAGTTATCTAGTCAAACTCTCCATTACTAATCTTTCTCCAATTCTTCAGAGTCTGCTTGTGAGTTCTGAACCCAACCTTTATATATAAATGCTAAAATATTTCAGTTTTGTGCATTGGTGCACCTCTATTTTTAATCCAGAATGCTTATGATTGTTTTCTGTCAAAGGTGGTGTGTGTGTATATACAGTATACACACACACACTTGTAAACAAATGGGGAAGTTACTATGATAGGTCTGATGCGAGAAAAAATTATTCACATTTTTACAAACATAGAAATTTTCCAAAACTTCCCAGAAATTTTGACACATTTCTTCTTTTACATTAAAAGACCTGTGAGTTGTGAAGATGAAATTTTACTGTTACAGTAATTTTGTAGCCAACACTTTTTCCTAATCATTTAGACTATGGGTTTATGGTACTATCCCAGATGGATTTACTATATTTCTGGGAAAGAAGGAGGAGGAGGAGGAGGAGGAGGAGGAGGAGGAGGAGAAGGAGAAGGAGAAGGAGAAGGAGAAGGAGAAGGAGAAGGAGAAGAAGAAGAAGAAGAAGAAGAAGAAGAAGAAGAAGAAGAAGAAGAAGAAGAAGAAGAAGAAGAAGAAGAAGAAGAAGAAGAAGAAGAAGAAGAAGAAGAAGAAGAAGAAGAAGAAGA